GAATGAAACTGGATTGCAGAATACCCACCTCATGGGAGAAGAACAGAGAATTGATTCTCGAAAACCAAACAAGGTCTCAACATTAAACATTTATGGTATTCTTGTCCAAACAAAACAAAACAAAACAAAACAAAAGCCTATCCTGAATTATCAGTGAAAGACATCCTAAAAAATTACTGGCATGTACCCTTCAGAAATATCTAAATCAAGAAAGATAAACAAGTAGTGACAAACTATTTTAGCTGGGAAAGACACATGGCAACTCTTTACAAAAGCAGATTCTAAATTACTTCCTGAATGGAAGGAACAGTAACTGTACAAAGGTTACTTAATAGGATAACTGAAAGAATTTGGAATATGGACTGACAAATTTTTTTTAATTAATTAATTTTTTTCTTTTATGTGTATGCATGTATTGCCTGCATGTAGGTAGGTGCACCTGTGTTGTGCAATGCCCATGGAGGACAAAAGAGGCTGTCGGATCCCCTGGAACTGGAGTTACAGACAGTTGTTAGCTGCCATGTGGGGTGCTGGGATTTGAACCCGGGTCTTGTGCAAGAACAACCAGTGTTGTTAACCACTGAGCTATCTCTCCAGCCCTGTTAAATGTTTTGAACAAATCAAATAGTAGCATTATATCACAGTAGAATTTCCTGATTTTGATGATTTTATTCTATGTAGAAGAATGTTCTTACACACACACACACACACACACACACACCACACACATATGCACAGACAACACTCCCCCCCACACACACACACGAGGAGCCAGTCAGGTGGTTCAGCAGGTAAAGGCACTTGACTCTAAGCCTAGCAGCTTGAGTTCAATCCCTGGGTCTCACCCAGTGCTAGGAGAGAACCAATCCTGCAAGTTGTCTTCTGACTTCCATACCTGTGCTATGCCATGTGCACGCACACATGTACACACATGTGCACACACACACTAAAAACCACAACAAAATACTTAGTAAAATATGACTCCAACTTATCAAATCCTGTATGTAAAAATCATGTGCGGCTTATACACTAGAGAGGGAGGGAAAGCAGAAGCACAAAGAAACGAACGTGGCGAAGCAGGATGTGGGTTTCCTATCTGCCAGTTTTCTGTGAATTCAAAATTGTCTCAAAGTCACAGAAAACAAACAAAACCAACACAAAAGACTTGCTAAGTAAGGCTCATTTTCTCCAGAACGGCATTTAAAAAATAATGCCTAAAATTAGAACCCTGAACAAGTAGATACAGCAGTTCCAAAAACTGTGTTCCCTGGGGGTACAATCAGACCAGGAGAGATTAATAAATTTTATCTAAATTCAAAGTTTCCGCTGTTCTTTTCTTTTTCTAAAATTTATTTTAGAAATCGCTTTATTCATTAGAAATTCACCAGAGAGTTTACCCTCCTTCAAGAAAGGATCTTGCTAAGCACTTCAAAGTGGGAAGTATGGGGTAGAAGATCTGAAAATTTGTTCCTCCTGAGACGAAGGGAGGACAGAGGACAGGCAGGAAGAACGGAGCTGTATGGTGACAGGCAGGAAGGACGCTCGGAGCTACATGGTGACCGGCAGGAAGGACAGAGCTACATGGTGACCGGCAGCAAGAAAGGAGCTACATGGTGACCGCCACGTAAGTGCTGAGGTGACTCTCCCCCATCATCATCTATGATCTTTGGAAACTGCTGGCCATGTGGAATGGCTCTCCTGCAGAAACAAAATCTGAAGTTTACATGTTAATTTGAAAGAGAGACAGGTGTTTTAACAATATAAAACTTTACAACATAAAAAAGCTCAGGGGGTGGGTTGGGTGTGTTAAAACTTTCCTTAGGAAGTAGACCAGTCTAAGTGTAGGTACTGGATATCTGATTAGAACATACCTTGTTATTATGTCAATATCTTATACATACTAAGACTCTGTTGCCCTCTCATTGATGAATGTTTAAATATTGGCTTACTGTTAACAAATGCCATGCCATATTCAAGAACTTGCTGAGTGACTGGATGACTGACCATGAGCCAATGTTTACATAGCACCTGCCAGCTAATCCTTTCTGTGGCGTCTGTGGTCTAAGAGAATTGCTGGTCTAAGCTTTGGATCTTGACTTATACTTGAAATGTGTCAATGTATTATTTTATTTTAGTTTTTTTAAGACAAGGTCTCCCTGCAGCCCCAGCTATCCTGGAACTCAGTAGATCAGGGTGGCCTTGATTTCAGAGATCTGCCTGCCTCTGCTTCCCGAGTGCTGGGATTAAAGGTGTGTACTACCATGTCCAGCAACGTACTGTTTTATTAGTAATAATAGTATTTTAAATTTTGTGCATCATTTTCTGTTATAAAGTTTTAAGTAGTGAATCAAATACTGATAATTTCTGAAAACAAAGGTATCTATGAAGCTCTTCGGCCAGCCTCAGTGTGAGCGCTGTTACACTTCATGGCTGCCTCTTGGTTCTCTACCATGTTCTGCACCTCAAAAAAGGTTTGGCATCCAAATAAGCGTCCTGACTAATGATGTCAGGAGTCGTTTTCACAGGTGCGTAGTTAGAGAGGCTGCGCGGGAAGCTTCAGAACGCATTTCCATACTCTAATTTCTTAAAAAGCTGCGAGACAGTATTTTGATTATTTAAATTATGCTTGAGGCTGAGGGATAAACTGTCCACTAGCCAATGGACTTTCAGTCCTGATTCCAATGTAAATTAGAGCACAGATCAACTCCACAGTCACGGTGGAACACTTGGACACTTTGTGGCCACTAAACAGCAGAGAATAGCACCGAGAGAGGTGACAGCGTGGGGAGCTCAAGGCTAAGAGGCTTTACCCTGGGCTCTGAGCAAACCAGACAGCAGGACAAGAATAAAATCATTATTAACTGCAAAACAAAAACCACAGTGTTAAAACTTTAACACTGTGGACTTTAAATAAGGAGTTTAAATAAAATGCAGACGAGTAAAGAGCTGACAGACCAGACACGCAGGGTCACAGAATAAAAGAAGGCTTTCTCAGCAGAGTAGTTATGGTTCTAATGTACTGGGATTAAAGTGCCATTGAAAAGTGGAAAGACGGGCTGGAGAGATGGCTCAGCAGTTAAGAGGACCCAGGCTTGGTCCTTAGCACCGACATATGGCTAACAACAGTCTACAACTCCAGCTCCAAGGGATCTGACTCCCTCTTCTGGTCTCTGTGGGCACTGCATACATGTATATACTCATGTACATGCAAGCAAAATACACATAAAATAAAAATTAAGTTTAAAAAAAAAGAAAAAAATGTGGAAACAGCTGTTATTAAGAACAGGAAAGGAATATGCAAGTCTGGCAGCAACAGCAGGATTGCTGTGTCTTTAATTCCTCTCCCAGAGTCTTGCAGTGTGACATTAGTACAGAGCACAGAGGGGCGGGCAGGTAGCTCCATGAAGACCACTAAGGTTTTCAAAGAGAATCAAAACCATGGGGGCATTCAAGACCCCATTATTTCCTGCTGTGCACCCTCCTCTCTGACATTTGTGCTAGAAATTCTATGTATTTATTGTATATAGCATTTTAATACAGTATTTATTAGCACGTATCTACCAGGTACTAGAAGAGGCACTAGGAATATTATAGGAGTAAGTTGAACCAGCATGTTGTAGCATATAGTTGAGTTAGAAAAACTGTTAAGCTACCTCACCAACAGATAAAGTAGCATTTCATTCAATTAAGATACTTTGATTAAAATTTGTAATTCACTTTAAATGGGAAATCTGAAGACATGGTGTAATCTTTAAATCCAAAATTAAGACTTGTGCATAGCTGCAACAAAAGAACTATCAAATCTTCTCATTACTGTGTCTTAGCACAAAAATTTCCATTAAAAAAGATATGGAAAAGTTTATTTGTAAGAATGGACATAATCTGGACTAACGACTTTTACCTAACCTTGCAACCAAAAAGTTACTGTCTGTAATGTAAACAGGCAAACTGAGCCATATGTCTTCTGACCTAAGCATATGACCTTAATCCCTCAGAACCCCTCCTTGTCTTCCACCCAAGAGAGTGAAAAATAGTATGAATGAATTTATGTATGAATGCCTATATGAATGATTTACATATCAACATGTTGGAAGCAGCATGCTTTCCTCATTGCAAACAGAGAATCTGAGAAGTGTGTGTATGGTATTCTAGGCTGAGGGATCAAAGACTAAGATTCTCCGATAAGATAAGGGTGGGTCCAAGCTCCTACAGCCCCAATTCATCCTGGAGATACTGTTTCAACAAAAGAGTGAGTGAAGCCTGGTTCAAGAGCACACAGTTCCATGAGACATCTTAAGGAACAGGTTCTCAAAGTTCAGCCCCATTCTTGGCCTTAAAATTACTATGAAAAGTTAGGCTGTTTCTTTATTCAGGCATAACCATAATGTGGTGTAGAAAAACAGCCTTCATTTGTTTAGAAGATCAAGAGAAGCTGGAAGAAATGAAACGGAACGGTACCAATGGGACTTCTGAAGGACTTAAACATGCATCACGAATGGATGAAGAAGATCACAGGCTTGCTCTTTTTTTAAACGTACCATTTTAGAATCGCGTTAGAAACCGCAAAGCTCATATAGAGATAGCTAGACAGAGCACATACAGTGACCAGATAAAAAGAAGAGAATACAAGTATGAGATGAGTGATTACATTATAATCAAGGGGAAAAAAACGATCTCCCTCAGGCCCTGTCCTTGGCGGAAGCACAGTGAAGAAACACTAACTAGGGAAGCTCTTATCCCACAATCTTGGCTCTTATTTATTTTTAATTAATTAATTAATTAGTTAATTAATCTACTTATTTATTTTTACTTTGTTTCTTGGTGTTGGAGATTGAGTCTAAGACCTTGCATATACTAGGCAAGCACTCTCTCACTGAGCTACACTGTCATCCAGCCAATAACTATGCAAATGATTACATCTCAACATTCACAGACACAGTTCAATGTTCTAGCCACATTCTGTCCCCATTGCTGGCTTCCACTGCTATGGCCCTACTCACCTCATAGGCATCTTTGATGTTCAAGGGCTCACCAAATGCTGCCACATGTCCTACAATGCCTTTGTTCCACTCTAAGCAGATACAGTTATTTGAAGCTTCCTCCAGGGTTGAACCTTCAGCAACATCAAAGGGGCGGCTGATAAAGAAACTTATCCTTGGAGCTATCCTCACAGACAAGGAACAGAGAATAGCGGTCCGCAGAGATGAGTCCATGGATATGTAAGAAAACTTTGTGACATAAGGCTGTGACATCCAAATGACTAGAAATATCTTTCACTAATTCCAAGAGTCTTGAACACTGGTCCCCTTCATCATTATTGAACCTTGGGGGGCTTAGTGGCATCTGTTCCTTCTTTTCTGAGTCGGAGAGGAAGCTCACAGTTCCCTCAGAATCCTTGACAACAATAGGCCTAAGAGGCCGGTCAAACTCAGAGGCAGAGATCTTCCTGGTTGGTGTTCCTGGGGTACTGTTATCCACATGAGGATTCTGTGGTAAGGAGCAAGAGCAAGATTCCGCGTGGCCTCGGATGCCTTCCTTGCATACAGGGATGGTGTGAACTCTCTCAGAAAACCATGCATTGACCATTTCTCTGCAGAACAAAACATGCAGACATGTTAGGTATTTGAGGAAAAAGGACACCACCTTCAGAAGGTGCCAGAAATCCCATCAGTGGCAGTCAGTTTCCAATCTTTTTAGCTACAGGAGAAAAAATGCCATCATTTCTGGGGATGGCGATTTGTTTATCTGAGAAACAAAGTTCCCTTTTCCATTGACAAAGGAGATACTAATCCTAATAGACTGACTACAGCAAAGTACATTTATACAAAGGAACACTAGGCTGGTATTAACAGTGGTTATTGTACTAATATAAGAAGTCTTTATGCACTAATATAAATAGGTTGGAACTGTAGTTCAGTGCTAGAGCGTGTGCAAGCTTTATGAACAAGGCCCTTCTAAGGGTAAAAGGCTCAACTTAAGAGCCGCTATCAGGATGGTGCTTTTCTTATCCCTTCATCTGGGTGTGCCTAACTAACCTTCTGTGATAAAATCTCAAAGATAATAAACAATGTGGCAAATGGAATTTAAGAAACCTGGGTAGAAGGCTGGTTGTTTTGCTTTTCGTAATTGAGTTTCACTATGTATCTAAGGCTGGCTTTGAACTCACTATGTAGCTCAGGCTGCCCTTGAACTCTTGATTCTCCTGCTTCAGTCACCCAGTGCTGAGATTACAGGCATGGTCCACTGAAGCCTGGCCTGAGTGGCAGTTCTGGCAAGGTGTGGTGGTTTGAATGAGAATGTCCCCCAGAGGCTCCAAGTATTTGAGCATTTTGTCCCCAGTTGGTACTGCTGTTTTGGGAGGTCTTAGAAGGTGTGGCTATGCTGGAGGAAGTACGTCATTGGAGGTGGGCTTAAAGAGTTCTTAAGCCTTGCCAGATCTCCAATCACGCTCTGCTTCCTGTGCCTACTTGAAGATGTGAGAGCCTAGCTTCTGATCCTACTCCAGCCATCTCTGCCACCATGCCTCCTTGCCATGATAGACTTTTGTCCTCTTTGAAACCATAAGCTAAATAAACTCTTCCTTTTATAAGTTCCCTTGGGCATGGTGTTTCTAGCACAACAGAAAAGTAACTAATACACAAGGCAAATCCCTTCTATGACTTAGAACAGGACCTTTCCTTTCTCTTCCTTGATGCCAGAGGATTTCTAAAAAATATCCACTACTGACCCTCCAGCCTCTTTCCTGGACCCCAGGGCTGACCTCTCGGCCAGGGGCTGCCACTGCTTCCTGATCCCTTGCATCCAAATGGACCCAGTTTCTTCTCAAGGTCACCAGGAACCCTCTGGGCCTGCCCTCACCTCCCTCTACTTCCCTGGGCTGCACAAACCGCCAGCCTCTTTCCTGGACACCTGGGCTGATCTTTTGGCTTCCTGATCTTTTGCAGCCAGACCAACCCAGTTCCTCAGTGCAGTCCCCAGGAGCCCTTGGGGCCTCTTCTCACCCCTATCTGCCTTTGCATCTCCGGGTGGCATGGCCACTAGCTGCCTGAGACCAGCATCTTTCCTGGGCTCTGCTCCCAGGCCAGTCCAACCCCCAAATTCCTGAGGCCAAAATCTTTCCTGGAGGGATCCAGACCTTAGGAGAAAGCCTGAGAGCATCCGATCCTCATCTGACATGGGCCTCTGTGGGAACTCCTGAAGACAAAAGCAATCTGGCCACTCCAATATAAAATCAAAAGAGAGAATCGGAAGCTTAGAGGAACCAGCTTTCCATGCCCAAAAAGTAAACCACAAAGGCATATAAAGTTTACATAGAGAAGCAGACCTAAACTTGAAAACTTGAGTCTGACACAAGAAAGAAACTACAAAAGAAATTCACATGTCAAAATCACAGAGAAAAAATAATAACATGACAAATCAAAATAACTTATCCAGACCAAATACCAATAGTCCTCTAGAGGAGTACAATGAGAATACCCTAGAGATTATGTTGACTGCAGTACATGGAACTCAAAAGAAAAATTATAAACATGATAAAAGAATTCAGTGAATTTAAAGAACACACAAAGAAATCAAAGAACTGAAGGAAGATAGGGATAAACTTCTGAATGAATTCAGAAAAGAGCTAGAAATATTGAAGAATACTCAGGCTGAAATGAAGAAGGAAGTGAAGCACTCGGTAAGCCAATTAGAAATGACAGGAGAAAGCTTCACCAATAGGATGAATGAAATGGAAAACAGAATATCAAGACTGGAAGATAAGGTGGATGAATTAGACCAGTCAAGCAAGGAGTATGAAAAATTTAAGAAAGCACAAGAATGGAATATGCAGGAGTTGTGACACCATAGAAAGACCAAACTTACGAATCATAGGCATACAGGAAGGGGAAGAATCCCAAGAAAACGGCATGGACCAGATCCTCAACAGAATCATAGAAGAAAATTTCCCGAAATTAAAGAAAGGCATTCCCATAAAATACAAGAAGCATATAGAAAACCAAACAGACAGGACCAGAAAAGAAATTCTCCATGGCACATCATAGTAAAAACACTAAATGTACAGGACAAAGAGACAATACTGAAAGCTGCAAAAGAGAAACAAGTCACATATTAAGGAAAACCCATCAGGATTACAGCTGGCTTTTCAGTGCAAACTATGAAAGCCAGAAGAACCTGGACCAAAGTATTCCCAGCTTTAAATGACCACAGATGCCAATCCAGATTACTATACCCAGCTAAAATGTCTAGTATAGTTGAAGGGGAAAGAAAACTCTTCCATGATACAGATAGGCTGAACGAATTCATGTCCACAAAACCAGCCCTTCAGAGAGTTCTAGAAGCAATACAAAGAGCTGAAGAAAGGAATGACTATACCCAAGGGGTTGCAGAAAGAAATTCAATGAAGAAACTCAATGAAGGTATAACTATGAAAAAGTAAAGCTGTATCAAGAATGTAAACAGAAATAAAAATGATGGGATTCAATACACATCTTTCATTAATAACTTTAAATATTAATGGAATGAACTCCCCAGTCAAAAGACACAGACTAGTTGAATGGATTAAGAAACAAAAATCCATCTTTTTGTTGTCTGTAAGAAACATCTCACTTTCAAGGACAGGCAATATCTTAGGGTGAAAGGATGGAAAAAAATATACCAAGCAAATGGTACTAAGAAAAAAGCAGGTGTTGCAATTCTAATATCTGACAAAATAGACTTTAAAACTAATCAGAAGAGATAAAGAGGGCCACATCATTCTGATCAAAGGAACAATAAATCAAGAAGATATTACAATCATGAACATATATTCACCAAACTCTGGTGCACCCAACTTCACAAAAACAATACTATAGGACTTTAAGACCCAGATTAATCCCAACTCATTAAGAGTAGGGAACTTCAATACTCCACTGTCTCCATTAGATAGGTCAACACGGAAGAGAGTTAACAGAGAGACATCTGAATTAAACAATACCATATATCAAATGGGCCTAAGAGACATCTACTGAGTACTTTCTACTCAGCACCCCATGGAAATTCTCCAAAATTGACCATATATTGGGGCACAAAACAAACCTCAACAAACACAAAAAAATTGAAATAATTTCATGCATTCTATCAGACCACAATGCAATAAAGCTTACAATCAACACTTGAAGAAGCCCTAGACACCACATGAACACATGGAGATTAAACAACACAGTCCTGATTGATGAATAGGTCAAAACAGAAATTAAGAGAGAAATAAAAGTATTCCTGGAACTAAATTAAAAGGACAATACAACACGACAAAACACTGGGACACGCTGAAAGCTGTCCTTAAGAGGGAAGTTCACAGCTCTAAGTGCCTACATCAAACAATCGGAAACAGCACAAATAAATGACTTAACATTGCAAATCAAGACACTAGAAAAGCAACAAAAAATGAAACCCAAATCTAGCAGACAAGAAGAAATAACAAAAATCAGGGCAGAAATTAATGAAATCGAAACAAAGAAAACAATACAAAAAAAGAAAAAATCAATGAATCCAAGAGCTGGTTCTTTGAAAAGATAAACTAGATTGACAGACCACTAGCCCAGTTAACGAACAGAAAGAAAGAGCACCTCCAAATCAACAAAATCAGAGATGAAAGGGGAAACATCACAAGAGACACCAAAGAGCTACAGAACATTATTAAGGGAATACTTAAAAACCTACATGCTACTGAATTTGAAATCCTAAAAGAAATGGATGGATATCTAAAGGCATGGGAACCACCAAAGTTAAATCAAGAGGAGATTAACAGCATAAACAGACCCATAACACAAAAAGAAATCGAAACAGTAATACAAAACCTCCCAACTAAAAAAAAGCCCAGGACCAGATGGATTTACAGCAGAATTCTATCAGACATTTAAAGAAGATCTACATCCAATACTACTTAATTTATTCAAAAAGATAGAAATGGAGGGAGAACTTCCAAATTCCTTCTATGAAGCCAGCATCACTC